CTTTCCTAGCATGTTTTGGGTGAGTTACTCAATTATTTTGTCAAAAGGCTAATCTTCTAGTGCGTGGAACCTATGACATAATCAGTGAAAAATTAAAGCCAGTATCATCGCCATAGACATGAAAATCAAGAAAAACCATTGACAAAACTTAAATTAACCCACGGTCTCTGTAGTGTGTGTACCTCACCCTATAAGTAAGTAGCATAGATAGATATTAAGACACTTAATTAAAGTTATTCCTAAGAACAAAACTTCTTCATCATTGCTCCACATTGCATCTCTTTTCGTAAACAAAGTCGAGTGAAATAACTAGTACGTTTATAAGAGGAAGCTATCGTTGCCTAGGTCTCTACAATTCGCCATTACGCTAATATGCTGCAGTGGGGTGAGCACTATAGTGGTCGTTTTCTCAAGCTCCTCTAGATGTTGCCAACGCCGCTGTGGTTAATAGTTATTGCCTTCATGAAGTAACGCTTTGCTTAGGAACGTCGTATCTGCATAATGTTGACTGTTTTTGTAGATATTGTACACGAATTTGAATCGTATTTTGTAACTAGTAGGTACTGCTTTTCTACTAATTAGAAAGATAGAAAATCATTTGTTTTATAACACACTAAAATAAATGACATGTACAGATTATAAAACTTTGAACATGTTAGATTATGAGTACTTACCGGTACATGTTCATTGCTCATGTTCTGCGGCAAAATGGGACTTGTTCAGCATGTGTCAGACACGGCTTTGTGCTGGTATTCTACTGACCCCTTAACTAACTATTAAGGTGGTTTTGATTTCAAAATTCTCAGTAAAATAACGTGGATACAGTAATAGTCTATATATTTTACAGACCAGTATAGAAAAACGCCCATTGCGTATTTAACAAAAAGTTAAAATGACCTATTTATCGTATAAAACTCCTCATACCCAGTCTAAAATTTAAAGGTGTATTGTTATCCCAAAATATTTCTTATCAAGTACTATTTATAGTACATAATCTGTATGAACTTAATTATTTACGAGTCTTTGATCTGTTACAATATTAAACACAGAACAAAATTCATTCAGCGAAAAAATATCTTATTAAATAGGTCGTACGACTGAAATTTCATTCTCCAAACCATTCAATCCTTTAATAAGGCCTGTCGTAACAAATGAAAGTATTAAACGCCATTAAAGGGAATTGTGGAAAATTCTAAATTTGAATCTTCTGAAGATTTTAACATCTGGCTTTATTAGGAAGACGAAATGGATATTGCGAACCGCAACACTCTGTATAAAGTAGGAATATAAAAGGTGTTGTAGCGACCTACGTGTATAATTTGAATTATTGTCATTGCGATTTTAGAAAATAGAATTAAAATTTACATTCTGTTTTTCCGTTTAATAATAGTTTTCCAACAAAAAATACAGAATTAGGTATTACTCTCTTTTCACTAAAGTGTTATATGGTTGATATTAGTAAAGTTTCATTATAATTCAACGGTACGAATTCTTCTGATAGTATTTCTATACTATATAATTCAAATACTTCGATGTATTCGACAACCAAGAAGAACAAGACCACAGAAATATAACTCGAATAAATATAATTATCGTGTCGTGGTGGCCCGGAGGTTTCGAAACCTACCAACGGCAAGTATCAATGTGACTTTTTCCAAATTATAATTATGTTCTTTCTAAGACTATCTAGACACCACTGACAAACAGCGAAGGAAAACATCGTGAACCTGGTCTTATAATTTCTAATTAAAAGTTTGTAATCGCCAACCCGCATCGAACAAGGGTGGTGATTAATGCTCAAACCTTCTTCGTGTCAGAAGAGGCTTTGTTTAGCAGTGGGCATTTATAGGCTATTGATGATGATGGTTATGAAAAATTTATACAAAACCGCTATATTTAATCAATAAAACTCAGCCACTTATTTCTATAACCCAAAGTATTTGATCTCAATAAAAATATTTATGAATCGGAATTCTAGCCGGAGGCCACGGTAATACGGTTCAGTCAGAAGGGATAATTTAAATAGAAAATTACAAAACAACCGACCCTCGTTTATTCTTCCACAAATGTAACAGTAAACATGTATACTAAATACTAAAACATTGATTCATTTTAACAGATAACACTACCAAGCAAATTTACGAAATACTCAATTAAAATTAGACCTTAACAACATGACTTTTAAACCTTATTTACAAAATCACGCTACTTACAATTAAGAGTTAAATTTTGTACAATTCGCAATTATGAGAATACTCGTTATAATTCTAATATCTATAGATTCTTGATTTGTGTTTCCTGATAAACTCATAATTTCAAACATCGATATTTTTCAAAATGATAACATCATTCATATTGACGTTCTAAATGATTCTGCTGCTTACATTGTTCTACTAACACAATAAGCTAATGTTGACACCAAACCCTACGTAGTTAAAATAGACAAAAATATAAATCAAACGGATAGTACTAATATCATATACATGAAAGACGCAGAAGTCAAATTGATAATTAAAATGCAAGCAACAGAATTAGAATTATCATTAATTAAAAATGTGATGTTTGAAACTGGGCTCAACAGTCTAATCAAAAAACACCAATCAAAGAATAATGACTTAACTATACATCAGACAGTTTCACTGCCATCAAGATATAAAATAATTATTATAGGCCCTTTGGATACTCGCTTTAAACTACCGACTAGCTTACAATATGGATACAAGACCACTAATTACGATTTAAATTATATTTACATAATAACTTACATACTACAGCGTTAAATAACACATTGATCACAGTAAGCAAAGCAAATATCTATGCATTTTATTTAATTAGATAAAAATGTAAAAAAACACAAAATTTTATATGACTATAATTAGTTTTTACATTGTACGAATTCTTCGTTTCGAAAATCGTTGTCACGAATTTGGCTCTGAAACAAAGAAAAGGGAATGTATAAATACAGGTTATGATATTCTTTGTTTTTCGCGTGTAGGTATGTATAAATGTACCTAATGGACTTTACGTGTATACTAAGGTTACAACACCAAAGTACTGAAAAATAGCTCTTAAGAATATTCATTCAAAGTTGTGAATCGATGAAAGAGTTATTAATATTACTTGAGCAACAAAATGTGAAGTGCACTTTGATCCACGCATAAATTATATTAGTAGTTCTAAAGTACAACATCGGTCGATATTAATAAATATTTACGAGCTTCAAAATGTCGATAGTCTTGACGGCACTGACATACACACCAACGAAAGCAGTGTATGCTGTCAGAATATTAACAAGGAACCACACGGAAGCCGGATTAAAGTTGATCAAAAAGTTAAAAATCAATTTCAACTTGTGCTAACTGAATTCCGGCAAACAATACCATAATTTGCTCCAGTTCAGTTCATATGCAAATAGCGTAGCGCGTATCTCATAAATTATTATCATAGATCGTTAGTTTAATTAAAACCTGCTCTTGTCTTCATTCTACCGCAATATATAGAAATTTCATTAGAAGCATACACGTAATTCAAGGTCCGTATGAACTTGAAGCGATAAAAGCTGTTAAATTAAAGTTCATTTGCATTAGTACATCAAGGCAAAGAAAATGTTAAGGAAGAAGTAAAGATCAACAGAAAACAAATATTGAACTCTAAGAAGAAGAAGCAAACTCGGAAGTAAACAGCCCTCCTAATGTTTTTAAAGATAATGATTCAAAAACAAACAAATCATCAGATTTTTTACTAAAGTCAGGTAAAGCTAAATAAAATTGTAAAGTAAACTCAAACTCAAGATGTATTAGTAAAAGAAATTCAAAATAAAACCACACAAATCGAAAAGAACAAAATGGCAATGAAAGACAATAAATTCTACACAACAAAATTGACTACAACGAATATCAATTTCGTTCATTTAGCCACAGCAAACGTCAATAACAATTAATCAATTATAATTAGAGCTATCATTCAAATCCCAAATAGTAGTTGACATTATTCATATCGAGTGACACAATAATTTGTACTGGATCGTATGCTAATCAATTTCACAATTAATTCCCATGTAAATTGGTATCATGTTTGGCGTTATGTTGTTCATGGTTGACAAATTGAATTGGTTATGTACCCCCTTATTATTGGCTATAATTTGATGAGTATTTATTAGGTTCGGGCATTGGTTTTGTGATAGAAGCAATGGATGCATATGGAATTTTGAATATGACATCTCTGACAGTAATGGCAATGTGTGCGACGGACTATACATATGTATAAGTAATTTTGTCGATTAGGAACCTTTTTGAGAAAAGTTTTCTTCGATAATTCTTGGTCAAACTTTGCTTTCTGGGATTTTTCATGATTACAACATCAATATGGTAAATATAGTTGGCAATGACTAGATTGAACGACAAAACATACCAATAAAAATGTTTGTACTGAACAGAGTTGGATTATTCTCTAATTGGTTTGTTTTGGACATCCAACATAAACTAAGGAAAATCTCGTGCGTCTGCACGTAAACAAGCTAATAGAAGAAAAAGTGCAATTCAGATGACATTGTTTGTCAACCGAACCAACTTAGTACTGAACCAGCGTAACCCAGAAACATTCCAACCAGATTCCCAAACTTCAAGCAATTTGCTTTCAGCGCTTCATTTTTATAACCAAACTTTGATCCAAATTGAGAGCTAAAAACAGTCACTTTTGTAATTGGTTTTATTGAAAGTTTCTGAGATGTTTGCAGGAAACTTTGTCAATTACGCAAATAAAAGGGGAAGAGGTGAAAATGGAAGTTTGAAAGTTAGGTTACATGGAGATTTGAGAGCGCGAGCTCGTGTTTAACTTGTTGAATATTGTTAAGAAACTCTATTGTCGTATGCGAACGGCATTTCTATTATGAAGTATCGTTTTGATATGAAGAAAGTTCCTTTTGTTTGTCCGGCAATTGAAGTTTGAGATGAAATATGATTTATACAAAATTGAGCATTTTATAATGTTTATACTTACAATTACATAGGAGATTTCGTCTCCCTCGTCTCACTTTGCTGTGATTCTTCATCTATTAACTGCAGGTTTACATTTTCGCTTTTTGTGTGATACGTAGCTGATAACACCTTGTCTTCTAATATAATATTCTCCACCTCAACCCCATTATCTTTCTTTCCATTGCCTTCCAATATCCGTTGCTTTATCGACGGCCCTCTATTGAATGACGAAGCCAGCAAAGTTTCTTGAATAGTATCATTTCCGTTACATATTTTGTCAGCCTTGTGAGTTGGCATGCGACCAGAATGATAACTGTTTCTCACTCCACCCGTCGATTCAAAAAACGGAAGCACCTGTTTGAACTCTTTCCTGAAGTTCTCGTTCAACCATGCGTATAGGAAAGGATTGTAGCATGTTGAGGCCATCGCCATGGAATGAGCGAGAAAGAATGACACAAAGTAATAATTCCACTCTGTCATCTGGGCGTAGAAGTCGTTGAAAATATTTATCAAGTTCAGTGGCAGCCAGGATATTCCAAATATAGCCACCATTGATATGAGCATTCTATTTGTGCGTCTTTTCCTATCTCTGTCCGCCTCTTCTCTCCTGGTATTCTTAGCACCTGGTTTCGACCTCGCTCGGTCATTCAATCTTATACTAACGCATGTATAACATATAGCTATTATTAAAAATGGTATTAGAAATTGTAATACCGTGGTGAAAACTCCAAATATTTTTCTGGATTTATCGGAAGGCCAACTTTCTTCGCAATAGTAGGTTCTATTGTTCGTCGTCTGTATTCCCATGAAGAGGCCGTAGGGGCAAGTTACGACAAGGGAGAATACCCATATGAATATTATAATAAGTATACAGGTGTTCAATTTCATTCTTGGGTGAAAAGGGTATATGATGACAAAAAATCTGTCTATAGCTATAGAAGTTAGTGTTAACGTAGATATGTAAACACTTGTGCCTTGTGCGTATGGCATTAGATGACACAGGAGTCTTCCGAAAACCCATCTTCCTAGAAATGTGTACATTGGCGTCAGAGGTACAGCGAATACACATAGTAGTATATCGGAGAGGGCTAAATTTGTGATAAAGAGATTTGTAACAGTTTGCATAGCTCTGTTCCGGAAAACGACATAGCAGACGAGGACATTGCCGAAAACTCCCAAAACGAAGATGATTGTGTATAAAATACAGAAGGCAACTTGGACAATTTTAACATCGATGATATCCGTTGTTTTGTTAGCTTTGGGTTCGTCTATCACTTCCACTGATTCCCCAGTGAGTGTCTTGGTGAGGATTAGGACTCCTCCTCCAAGGTAGGCGGTGCCGTTAAGAGACATTGCAGCTGGGACATATCGGCTGGTTAACGCAGCCAAGTCTTCATGACCGCTGCCGTTGTAGATAGAGACCATGTTAGCTCCTTACTATTTTCCATTCATGATAATCTGTTCTTCGCCAGTCCATCTGTGAACAAGGAAAAAGGAACATCAAAAAGATCCCTGCACATTCAATACAAAAATAATTTATTTTTCCTCAAAAGCATCTCAAATGTTAATAGGATTGAAAATATTGTCACGAAAATTATTACAAAGCCTACGCTTCATTTAAATTTGCAAACATGTCAAAATCTTATTTGAACTCTTTGACACCTACACAGAGACTAATATCGCTTAACTGATTAATAAAATTTCGAGCAGAATGATGTACTCGGATGGTTGCCATGGCAACAGAAACGATGGCTAATAAACCCGAAACATTATTGCGGATGGGTCATTACGTCACTGGCACCATATGTCGTGGTAACAAAAATACAGTTAGAATTAAATTAAATTTATAAGTTTGGGAACAAAATTGTGCCTTCATCAATCACTTACAAAATATGGGTATTATTATACATGACATGACTGACTATTTTTCGTACTATTTTCTGTGGCATATTTTTATCATAATATTTTCTTAGGAAAGTTATAATATTTTTTTTGAGAGAAGATTAATGTAAGTAGTTAAAATAGATGTTTGTTATAATTTTTAAATATCAATTTCATAGTTTTTATTTTTTGTTTTACGGCAGGTTAAAATCGATAATTAATTACATTAATGAAGCCAATAGCGCCACTGAATTGTTGTATAGTATTATAAAATTATAAAAAAAACTTATGAAACCTTAACTAAATATAATTGTCCGTCAGTTCCAAAATTTAGATTCGTAGGGGTTAAAAAAAGACGTTTAAAATTACGTCGTGGTGGCCCGGAGGTTTAAGACTCCCACTTCTCATGCATGAGGGTGCGGGTTCGAAACCTACCAACGGCAAGTACCAATGTGACTTTTTCCGAGTTATATGTACTTTCTAAGATTATTTAGACACCACTGACAAACGGTGAAGGAAAAACATCGTGAGGAAACCTGGACTTATAATTTCTAATTATAAGTTTGAAATCGCCAACCCGCATTGAGCAAGCGTGGTGATTAATGCTCTAACCTTCTCCGTGTGAGAAGAGGCTTTGCTCAGCAGTGGGCATTTATAGGCTGTTGATGATGATGAAAAAAAGACAAGCAAAAAACTCAATGTTACTTTTTAGAAGAATAAACATGTATAGTAACAGTGATCGACCTCAAGCAATTATGTACCTTATCAACACAAGATTACTCCTCCTTCTTTATAAATTCATGTCTAAAATTAGTCTAATCTATTCAAATGAACCTACACAGTAATTATAAACTCTATAATTGTAGTTTCATCCACAAACAACAACTGTTTGTATTTTGAAAGAGATTAACACAATAATTCAACGCCCGGATTAGAAGCTGGGACTGTCTCGATACCCTTGTTTAACTATAAAGTTATTAAGTGAGATACAAATATTTAGTTTGGAATTAAATTGTGTACAATTATGGAGCTTATGTAATGGATATAAGTGTTGAATTTGAATTGAGATTGTGTAGAAACGGATTAAACTGTCAAACACCAAGCGGTCACCGGTGACCGCGACCTATTGTTCTTTAATTGTGTCTATAAAACCGGTACTCGACGAGTTAACTGGCCACTAAGCTTTATTTTCTGAATAGAGACTGGACAATATTGGACTTCGTACATATTTTATGTAGTAATACAATACTGAAATTTTGACATTATTTGGATCCAATTAATAGCAACATAATTCTGAACTAATGTACTAGCTTTCTGTTATTATACTTACTATAAAATGTAAATAGTTTAATGGAACATGATAAGTCAAAAACAAATGAAGAAGCTTCTCCATTCGTAGAAATTAGCAAAAAGGGTCACATAACATGACATCACGCATTTTATAGTCAGAGGTCCACATTACGGCACTTAATGCCACTGTACAATGTAACACCCACTTTTCACTATTTATGTTATGAGTCCCATGCAATAGGGGGTGAGCCTATTGCCATATACCGGGCACAATTCCAGACGCCGTGCTACTTCTGAGTTTTTTAGGAACCCAGTAATACTTTGCCCGATCCGGGATCGAACCCGAGACCCCTTGCCTGGCAGTCGCACTAGCGACCACTTGACCAACGAGGCAGTCAACAGGCGAAAGTTGTCTATATTTTGACTTCTTTAGTTACTAATTCTTACTTAATTTGAACTGAAAACTGTACCTCCTTTTAGAAACACGATACACAGACACGTGTAGAATTGAAAATGAGTTTAAAGTGTAACTTAATCACCAGAAATAGAAAGTTTTGACTGTTTGTAACGTGTCATCTATATGTATATAGATATATAATATTAAGCGTATCCAAACTTCGGCATTCACGGCGACACACTGTTCAAAAAGTATTTTAATACCTCGAATTTCCTGTTTACGGAACAAGTCGAAACTTTATGGAATGCGAAAATCTCTCGCGTTGACGCCCGTCTGTTTAGCTCAGTATATAATATTACCGTTGACTTTACAAGCGGTTTCAGACTACAGTTTTATACTCGCATATGAGCTCGTTTTTGGAAACACGTGTAGCTGCGTATAGTAAGTACCTTTTGGCAAACGCGCAACTCGTACGAGCGAAAACGTCGAACGTTGGGCATTTACGCAAGTACAATTTTTTGAAGCGCGTAATGCAGCATTAGAATTAGACATCTATGATAAGGATTGGCCGCAAAAAGCTTTACATAGAGAGGAGAGAAATGAGGGTAGGGAGACCTTTGGCCTGCGGTGGGACGATCATAGCTGAAAATAAATAAATAAATAAATAATCGTGTGAACGCTTATGTTAACTTAAAACCAAGGTTGTTACGGATGCACAAATCAAGAATAGAAATTCGGGGATGCAAATACACATGCGGATGTGGATTATTAAAGAATTCACATCCGCGTATGTGGACGCAGTGCGTTACAATTTGACAGGGCCGTTTACACACAGAAAATACGCTAATCTGAAACGCCTTTAAACATTTCAATTAAATGGAACTGTTACGAAATTAATGAGAAATATTCTCAACCCATTCCGAAGATTCTTCCGTAAATTGTTTGTTTATTGTTCGTTCAGAATTGAGACGTTCTGGGAGTAAAATGAAATTTAAAAGGTGTTTCGGTTTTAAGTATTTTAAAGTGGGTTAAGTGAAGGGGTGACGGTTAATTTTGTACTTTTTTTTCTTTCTTTTTTTTTTTTAAATAAAACGTTGCCCCACACTAGGATTTTCTCCTGTGTCGTGGGTGCGTTTACAAACATACAAGTTCACATACACATGACACCCAGACCCGAAACAACAATTTGTGGATCACACAAAGTGTTGTTCCGTGCGGGAATCGAACCCGCGATACGTTGCACGGCAGCCGGTTGCCCAGCCACCGCACCAATCGTGCAGTCATTATTATCAGTTCTTAGTGGTGAAAATAGTTTTTTAACTTTTTATGAACATTTCTTAGTATGGGTTGTGTAAAAATTTCCGACTTATTCGGTAGACGAAAATGCCTTATAGCCGATTTCACCAATCCCATATAAGTTTAATTCATTTTTTTCGGTTTAAGTCTGTTTGTTTCTGGTTTAATTCATGTTATAATCATAAGTAATAAAATAATCGACGTACACTGCCACAGTTCTATATTCTACGCTTGTATCTACAAAGATTATTCAGAAATAAAAAAAACCCAACAACATAATAAACTTAACAAACAAACAACAAAAAAAACCATTGAAAATCAGTGCTGGGTAACTTGTATGCCTGGCTTACATATTATACTGAGTGGGTGACCCTTCTAGCACGCATGTTGTCAGCGTCTCTCTTCTAATTCTTCTGCTTTTAAGTTTTCAACACTTTTGTTTTTATTACTTCCACTGTCACCTTTATTGTCTTTTTTAATATTTTATTTATGCTGCATCGTGCCTGGTGCTGAATAAATGCTTTTTCTTTCTTTCTTTCTAACTTTAAAGAACTCCCAAATATAGGTTTCACAACTATTCCTATTGCATTCTACATCTTAGAAATGCAGAGATTCCGCGTTAAATCTCAACTTAGACCAACACAATGTTACAGAAGGCATCTGAAATCGTAATCTCGACACGAAAACATCTAGAGTCGTTAAAAGTGAATTAATGGTGTCACGAATGAACGAACAGTCTCAATCCTTCGCACAATTCAATTGAATTTGTCCTATTTGAAGGACATTCTTTACTTCCTTGGCTTTGAAGATTGGACTGTACATTCGTAATTTGGATTAGATATTAAATGAAATGGAAAAATGTTGGGTACTTGACACATATTTTTTTGTAACACGTGTGACCGTCTTCATACCTTTGGACAGTCTTTTTGGGCTCATGGATGAATTTTGGTTTGTTATTCACAAATTACACAATACGACTGCCTCGTTGGCCGAGTGGTCGTAATTGCGACTGCCGGGCAAGGGGTCTCGGGTTTGATTCCCGGGTCGGGCAAAGTATTACTGGGTTTTAAAAAAATTCTCAGTAGTAGCACGGAGTCTGGAACTGTGCCCGGTATATGGCAATAGGCTCACCCCCTATTACATGGGACTCATAACATAAATAGTGAAAAGTGGGTGTTGCATTGTACAGTGGTATAATGTGCACCTCTGCCTACCCCTTCGAGGATAAAAAGCATGATTTTATGTTATGTTATGTTTATTCACAAATTATTTTTTCGGTTCTGAGTGTGGCGTGTGTAGTGATAGAGTTATATGTTTGTAAACGCATTAGGTAATAAGACAGGAGAAAGCTTTAGTTAGGGGCAACATTGAACAATATTTTAGGACTCATACTCAAACCAATTGATAATGGCATAAAATGGAAATACTATCCACGAAAATGGCTTAATTAATTCAAATAATTTACGACACTTGTATCGATATTAATCATTCTTTATTACTCAAAGTGATAGGTAACAATTACTTTACTTTAATGGCTTTTACTTACTGTCTCCAACGTAAA